GGAGACTCCCCTTTTCAATCAAAAGGCATTTTTTTTTACTGCAAGCCAATATTTGATTATTTTTTAGAGTATTGTGAAAGTCAGTAAGCTACTAATTCAAATTGTACCCTGGGCTTTTGCCCGAGTAAAGGCTGATACATAAAATTGGGTGTAAAGTAGGGGATGGGCTTATACCCGGGGTTGGCTTATAATCAAGTAACCATGGTAGTTCACATTTATAAGCTGAAAACAAACAACAAATTTTAATATTGATACAAATACTGGTAATAAAAAAAATAAATTACTGTAAGTAAAAAAAAACTACATATTTGTCCTGCTTTAGAGGACATCAGTAAATTAATTAATCCATTGTTGTTAATTAGCTCAGATTGCAAAAATTACAGGTGTTTTACTATAGGTATCATATAAACAAGCACCAACAATTCATGCACATGCTTACAAACAACAAATCACACGCCAATCTATAATACATGACCACCACAATACCTGTTTGCTTCCAGACGCGGGCGTCGAGCTAGAACTCGTTGATGTACTTGCTTTTGTGGACTCCTTCAGAAGAATAAAGAAATTTAATTCACAATTCTAAAGGAGAGGACTTGTCAAAAATTGTTTTTTTATTGTATTTCATGATCTCAAATTTTATAGTAAAAGACTGGTTTTCGGAAAAGCTGCAATAAAACATTCAATAACTTATTGAAATATAAAAAATTATCCATTTTTTATATAATTTTAATTGGAAACCTTCTTGTGTCTGTTGAACTATGGTAATCTTTACGGTATGTCTCTCTATAATACGAATAAATCGTATCTGAATTATCTTTAAAAAAAGTATTCAAGCAATTTCCTGTGAGCAACATGGCCCATGCGAGAGTTAACAACGAGAAAGAGCAGATTGTCTTTCAGTGCACAAATCAGTTTCTATAAAAAAAATATTTGCGACGCAAGATCGCTTCATTCTAAACCACAGGTAACAGATTACCGCTCATGCGTAAACAAATGGTGTAACAATATCCTACAGAAATTGAGTAACAACTCAGTGCTGTTACAATAGCCACCTTCGATCAACTAATTGCTTCAGTCTTGATTTTTCGTGTTCTTCCTTTTTTCTTCTTGATTTATCTGATGCAGAAATAATTTTTCTTTAGTATATTCTGGTTCAAAACTGTAACCTTCATAGAGCGATGCCATATTTTAAATTACTATGAATCAACCTGCAAATTATCTCTATATTAATGACAACTTTAAAAACTCTCCACACAATAATCGAACGAAGCCTGATTGTTGAGCTGCAGGGTCAAACCACAAAAGCCTGATGCATATCGGCAGGGTATTTTTTTTTTTTAGAGGGGGGGGGGGGTGGAAGGCCCTTAAAGTAGTTTTACTATTTTCCCTCATTTTTTAAAAATGCAGTATAGTTTCCTCATTCAGAATTATCTAGATTCAGCCTACAGGCTTTAGAAAAAAACAACTTTTTAATAAATAACGATCACAAATAAGCATGTACTTTCAATTTTACGAAGGTATTTTTCAAGGCATACAGTGTTAATAAGTAGCTGCTCAACGAAGCGTCCCACTCTGTCTCAGCATACGCCACGGAGAGCTCAAAATGGTGAGGTTCAATTTGTCGTACACTTCAGATGTTTTGTTATTTTCAGAATATTATTATGAAGCTGTTACAGGCCATCCCTTTAATTTAAAAGTGGACATAGTAGTCACTACACTATAAATAAGATTAACAATTTTCAATCCTATAATAAATTATATATAGCCGGAGTTATGTTTTGACCTAAAAGGCTTCTTCTATGAATTTAATGATCTGTACAAAGCACGAACCCCAGACCAAGCTTGTTTTATTAAGCATTATTTTTGAGATTTTATACCATTCTGTAAGTGGTGGGTTACATAAGAGTGTGAAGAAATAAAGATTAGACCAATAGCGCGATGATGATCTGAAGTTTATTACAATATATTATATTTCAATCATATTGAACAAAAAGGATGTAAGAAAGGCTATACAATTCATTTTAATAAATTATGTTATTCCATAACCTGTTATAAAGAGCTTGTGGCCGAGTTGACTAGTTAGTGGCCGAGTTGACTTGTAGCCCTATTGGCTTATAGCCAATTTGACTGTGGCCGAGTTGACCTGTTTCCAAGCAGCATATGCCAAATTATTAGGTATTATTATTATTAAATTAGGCTAAAAGTAGGCCTACCTGTATGCTACCCTATACAGTATTGGCCTAGCCTACGTAGGCCTACAGCCCACAATTGCCGCCTTCGCACCACGCGTGACTGGCGAGGACGTTGCGTTGTCACGCAGAACGTTAGCCACGCGTGGAGTTAAGCACAAAGTAAACAATAGGGTATACAAAGTTTATCCTACATATTTTGTTTATTTTTTATAAACAGTTAAATTCGTTCCCGGACGTTCATGTACTGTTTATAAGCTACATGGCTGGATCAGAATAAAGTAAGAGTTGATTCACGAAAGTTAAGCCTACCTTCCTTTCGACCGGACTCACTGACCTCTATTTTTCTAATTATATAAGCCTAAGCGAGAGGCCTATGTTTTTTAGGCCAACACGATCGGCACCGGGTATAACTAGGCCATAATTTTCGATTGGCTTCATCGGCTTTGTACATAATTATATGCAAAAATTCAACTCCCATTTTCGGCTGTTATTCATGTTCAATATTTTACTAATAATGTACAATTAAAATAAAATACTACACAGCGTATTTTGCTCGATAATATCTTGGATCTGAATTCTTTACTCTAATTGACAACTGTTTACTGTAGTTCAAAACATTGTTTATTCCTGCTAATCGACCCATCAAAACAATCAACATTCTCGTGGTGTAATTGTTTATCAGGCCACGTTTTACGTGTGGTGGTAGATCCTACTACCACGCAACTACAACGAAGTTACCACGCGTGCCACACGTGGGGAATGTTGCAGCAATTGTGGGCTGTACTGTAGGCCTAGACCTCTGACAGAGTAGCTAGGCTAGAGCCTACTTAGCCTACTACTACTACACTAGGGCCTAGGCCTACAGTATGTAGTACAGATAGGCCTACTCTAGACTGTAGTAGGCCTAGGCTAGTATAGCCTATAAGGCCTAGGCCCTAGCTATGGTAATTCCTAGCTATTACTACTAGGTCTAGGCCTGGCCCTATGCCTCCTAGCCTAGCCTTGCTAGGCCTAGGGGCCTACAAAGTATTTTTATTTAGGCCTAGGCCTTTAAAATAGTAATAATTTGGGCAAATGGTGACTGCTATATCATGATCGCGGGGCTTAAAGAAATTGTGAGTGTTAATATGTATATCCAAAGAAGAACACTATGTTTAAAAATAACACTAGGCCAATCATAGTGATCAAAAGCCATCATACATGCGTCTCTATCTAGCTAGGCCTCGGGCCTAGTGTATCCATCACAGCACCAGCGGGCCCTATCAACCTTTTATTGACCGCTGGAGATAGGCATCATGCCGAAACAAAGCCTGTGGAGATGAGTTTGATTTCGAAGCACACACTATACATCAAATTACGAATATAAATAAAATCTGATTATCTATCACTTTTAACAATTCTTACCGGATATCCTCCTGGAAACTGTCTCATAGGAGAACCCGATGGGGGCTGAGGAGGTGGAAATCTTTGTTGCTGATTTGGTCCCGACATGAATGGATTGGCCGCCATATTGTAAATTTAGCTGTAACTCTTTGGACAATACCATTATGTTTATGGGGATTTTAGGTCCAACGCACAGTGGGAACAGGGCGAAATCAAAGTGTGCCAACAAAAGTCCATTTTGGTGACTATGGCTTTTACACTTTTCACATGATCGAAGAAGGGTATACTCTGGAGAATCTATCCTGAAAATATTTCACGTTTAAATGAATTTTAAGGGTGGTATTTTTCAACAAATGTCGGAAATGTCTCTATAAATATTTCAAATGCTATAATTTACTACATTATATCAAAACACGTTTTTTTTTTCTTACAGAAAATTCGGAATTACTTCAAAATATACACGTTTCTTGTATATATAAATTGGGGAATACAAATATATGTTTTGGTGTAAGTTTGAAGTTTGCATCAATAATAAAGATATAGATAGATATTCTTTCCACACCAGAAGAAAACCCACAAGAGACTTAAAAACCACCCAAACCGGGACGTCGAAGTATGGGAGGATCTTTCCAGAGAGTTCGCACAAGGGTAAAGTACAAAAGATGTTGACATAAAATGTACGCACAACTTCTTTATGCATTGCAATGGACGTTCAAGAAGAATCGATTTTAGAGTCTACTAATATGTAGAAAATACATAGGCCCCTACACATTTTATTTCTCCCCGACGAATTGTAGTTTATCTCCCCAACGCCGGGGAATTGTAGTTTATCTCCCAACGCCGGGGGGGGGGGGAGGCTCTCCTTGACGGAGACCTCTCCTCGACGGGACCCTGCCCCCTCCCCCTCCCCCACTCGCTGGCGTCACCCCTGAAGCGCAAACCGGAATCGTTCACGACAGGTGAAACATTGCTCCATTGCTTTGTAGCTTCATAGCAAAATGAGACTCCTCTTAGACCAAAATAAAAGTAGCAAAAAAGCATTGCTGTCCTGGTGGTAGAGTATACCTGTCAAAGAGGACAGCAAAAGTTCAAAGCCTCCTCGTTGACACTGCACTGAGAATAAAAAAAACCCAATAAAACTACCATTATCGATACTTTTACAATATAGGTCTAATATGATTGAGGACGGAATTAATATATCATGACAATGGTGTTGGCCTAACGTCTGACAATTCCATGGAATCGCAGATGCAAACACATAGGTATTAAAGGCAATTTACTTAATATAATCAAGAACATTTATTTTAACGTGCAATGTAAAGTATTATTTGGGAGTAAAGCAAGGATGCACCCTCTCACCACGATTGCTTTCAATATTTATTAATGAACTGTATAAAATGATAAAATGTAAGAACTTGGGTGCAAATATTTTTAATGTTAAAATAGGTAGCCTCTTTTGGGCAGATGACGTGGTATTAATCGCAGAAAACGATCGAGATTTGAATTCACTATTGGAAACGGCCTCAGAATTTTCACGAACATGGAAACTTTCGTTTAATTATGAGAAATCAAACGTTTTAATCACAGGCCAAAGAATCAATGTACATAGGAAATGGCAAATAGGTGAAAATTATATATCAGAATCAGAGACGTATAAATACCTTGGTGTACACATATCTCAATCGTTGTCTGATACATATTATATAAATGAAGTGATTAGGAAAAGGTAACCGTATAATTGCATACATAAAATCTATAATATCTGAGCAAGTAGACTTTGACAGAGTCTACTATGGTGACCTGCTTTGGAAAGTGATCGGACTACCTACAATAAATTACGCATGTTCTGTTTGGCTCTGTATAGTAATGGGAAAACCTCACAAGAAAAAATTGAGAACTTGCAATACCAAATGGCTAGGATAATACTAAAAGAACCAAGAAATGTTGCTAAGGAAGCATTGTACGGTGATTTGGGATGGCAAAGCATCGTTTCCTTACAAAATGATTACAGAGTTCAATATTTTAACAGATTAAAAAAAAATGGAAGATTGTAGGTGGTCTCGTTTCCTTTTCAAAGCAATTTTATCCGTCCAAGAAAGTATGACATGGCATTGGTTATCCAACATAAAAGATATTTTAAGAAAAACAAATTTTATAGACAAATTTAATCAAGAATCATCAACTAAATGAATAAAGCCATTTAGAAAAATTTAAACAAGTTGACTATAAAGAGTTGTTTGCTAGAGCTCAAAGCAAATCAACATTAACAGAATATATTATGTATAAAGGAACCCCAAATTTTGAACAATATTTGCTAGATAAAAATTATTTTAAGAGTATTAATTTAAAGTTTAAAGCAAGATCAAATTCTTTAGATCTTGAGGGTCGTAGACAATCCTGGTCAAAAAATAACACAAGTCTCTGTAAGATTTGTACTACTAACGAAAAAGAAACAGTAAACCACTTCTTCTTTAATTGTACTTTACTAAACTCTGTCACAAATGATGTATACTTAAATCTTAAGAACAGCCTCATAGAAAATAAGTTAAATACATATTGGGATATGTTTAATTGTGGATCACAAGAATTAAAATGCCACTTTATGCTTGATAATTTATTCACTGAGAATGAAACATTAGGAGAAATTTTTGATTTTTATTGTAAACAATATTTAATTAAAGCATGGACAACTAGATCTACAATAATATCAGCATTACCTCTCTCGAAATTTAATTAATTAATGACAAACAAAATATATGATGTAATGTAATTATTACTTTTATTATTATTATGATACTTATTATTATTGTATTATTATTTATGTACAGGCAGCTTAATTAACTTCATACAATTATTGTATTGATGTAAGTATGTGTATGTATATATATATGTGTGTGTGTGTGTGTGTGTGTGTGTATGTGTGTATTCATATATGTATGTATGTATATATACATATATATTTGATAAGCTCTATATATATCTAGGTGTATCATTTGTATTTTGTATTAGAACTTTTCTCTTTTCCTGTAGTTTAATATGTTATTTGTATACTTTTGTAATGTGGATGCACCACTGAATGATGTGTGCCACCGATATAAAGGTGGTTCCATTGAATAAATAAAAAAATAAATAAACAATAGAAATTTTAATGTTGGCCTATGCCTAAAACACTTTCAGCCCCGTCCAATCAAAAAAATGTATTTTGATGACGTCATTGAAAATACAAAAAAGTTTCCCACAGAAGTTCTTTTGTCCCAAACATCCTTAAACATTTCAAAAATCATTGCAATATGAACTTGTTTTGGTGTTACAATGAAAACTGACATCGTCCAATCAGAAAGCAGTACAAAAATGACGTCATATAGATTTGAAAATGCTTTTATTGAATTCTACGGGTACGAAAACCTCTAGATAAGTCTTATATTCGCTTAGATTAGCTTCCGTAATGAGTAATTAATTTTGTCATACTTTGACTTCAGTCTGGCCCACTGTGCAACGTTCTAAATTAAATTTTAAACAAAAATCTCTAAAAATGATAAAAGGAACTTTAACTTAATACAGTAACTAATTTTTATCCTTATCTTGTGCAATTTATTTATCATTATATTAGTAAATTTAAATTTGTTTTCTAGGACTAATGTCTTATGCTATGTATAAGCAATGGGGAAATGGAGACATGGAATCCGAACAATGGAGACATGGAATCATTACAGCTATTTAAAAAAAAGGTAAAACAAACAGGGGTGGCGCCAGGATTTACCCGACGGGGTGGGGTGGGGGGCGAGGTCCCCGACGGAGGCCGATGCTCCGACGAGAGGTCAGATTTCCTCGACGAAAGCAAAGTGAGCGTGGTCGAGCTTCGATTAAAAGGTTTCCGAAAGTGGTCCAGTCGGCGAAGCCCCGAAAAAGTTTGACAATTTATGGGTTTAAAAGGCGTATTTAATCGATTTTAGAGTCTACTAATATGTAAAAAAGACATACAATTTTTTTTCTCCCCGACGAATTGTGCTTTTCTCCCCGACAGTGGGGGGGGGGGTCTAGCTTTCCCCTGTATGGTCAGATCAGAGCGGTCAAGGGTCAAAAGTTTCCAATTTAGCAAGAGGGCGCCATTCATGCCTTATTACAGAATTTGCACGCGTAAATCCCGGAGAACGCTATCTTGTGTTTATAAGATCTTTGATTGAAACGGTTTTTAATTTGTAAAAGCGGCGCAAAATACAAAATCTCTAGCGCGCTGTAGAACAAGATTAAAATATTTTTATAATGAATATTTTCTACGAAAGCGTATTGCTGCTAACGCCAAAATATTTTTTGTCATTATCTCGTACGTACGAGATAATTAAGTCAGGATACGTACGAAATATTAGGCATCTCGTACGTAGTCTACGACTTAATAGGCCCTTTCTCCTACGTACGAGATAATGGTAAAACATATTTTGACGTTAGCAGCAATAAGCTTCCGTAAGAAAATATTCATAATAAAAATATTTTAATCTTGTTCTACAGCGCGCTTATAGATACTGACTGTCTTTAGTCTTAATGTGCATTCACACCGCGGCGCTTGTCGGTGGTCTGCTCAAATTGCAGGTGAACGGTGCGATAGTACGTGTTGGTTCCTTCTGCGTTAGTCTGTTTCGGTTGTTTATTTTAGCTTGGTTCGCTTAGGTGACCCTCTAGAATAGATTTTATTTTCTTTTTTTTTGTTGCGCTATAAGTCTCCAACCATTACCATTACCATTACACCGGATCCGAATTTTCAGATCAGAAAGGCTACTGTAAACCTTACCGATCAGATTGAACATGGAGGAAATTGAATAAGTGTGTAAGAATATGGGACGCTTACTCAGCGCATCCGAGTGGAAACGCGGTCCGAATTTCTCTTCGGATCTTCGTCATTATAGACCTCACTGGCTGAGAGACAGAATTTACAGGCCTAACTGATCAGTTTCGGAGCCAGCGTCTGAAATCTGGGGGTACGGGGAAAATGAGGGGAAAGGTAAAATGTTAGGAGGGACCGGGGGGGGGGGGGTGGCTAGGGTGCCATATCGTTGAATAGTCCTCTCATCATTGCATGACTTGGAAGTCGCGCATGATCTCCAGCCTGAAATAATACACATCATTAACACATCAATTAATGAAAGA